ATGTGAGACTTGGATTGTAAAGAAGGCTGAGCATCGAAGAATTGATGCTTTTGAACTGTGGTGTTGGAGAAGACTCTTGAGAGTCCCTTGGACAGCAGGGAGATCAAACCAGTCCATCCTAAAGGAGATCAGTCCCGGGTGTTCATTGGAAGGACTGATGCTGAAACTGAAGCTCCACTACTTTGGTCACCTGATGCGAAGAGCTGACTCATTGGAGGAGACCTTGATGCTGGGAAAGATTGAGGGCAGGAGGAGAAGGAGGTAACAGGATGAGACGTTTGGATGGCATCACCGACTCAATAGACATGAACTTGGGCACACTCTGGGAGCTGGTAAGGGACAGGGAGGCGTGGTGTGCTACAGTCCATGGGGTCGCAAAGAGTCAGACATGACTTAGTGACTGAACAAAAACAAATAGATCCCAAGAATGCATCACCAGCAGTCAGCGCTGATTTGAAGAAGTGCTTGGTCTTCAGAGCTCCAGACAGCTGGGCCTCTTGAGACCCAGACTGGCCACATTCCAGGCTCCTCTGAGTCAGCCAGGCTAGTACCACCCAAGGACACGACTAAGCCCTGGAAATCAGCACCTGCCTTTACTGGCCACCCTGGCTTCTTCCCAGTTAATCTCTAGTAAAGGTCTTCACTAACCGCTTGCTGCTGTTGTTTAGTCTCTCGGTCATGTCTGGCTCTTCACGACTTCATGGAGCCCACCAGGCTCCTCTGTCCATGAGATTCCCCAAGCAAGAATACTGGAGTGGATTGCCATTTCCTTCTCCAGGGGATCTTCCCAACCCAGATGTTGGCAGGTGGATTCTCTACCACTGAGCCTCCAGGGAAGCCCACACTAAGCACTTAGTTGTATCTTAAAAACTCTATCCACATGTAGGATATTTTTAGAATCTGGCTCTTATTGAACTGGCAGGGGGGTTTCAGATGTGGCTATTCTAACAGCCATCCTCAGTAATCTCAGCATAGTTCTGATGACACATTTTGAAGAGTCGGGTACAGATGGTTAGGGACGGTCTTGCCATTCACAGGTTCTCAAGCCCGTATATATCCACCATGTCATTGAGTTCCCTTACTCCTCACTACAAACATCTGAGGAAGATTTCTACTTAGATTTTACAGACCCAGAATTTGAACCCAAGATTTCCATCCTCAAACTCCACCTTCCAAGTGATCTCTGCCCCCTTGATGCCTCTCCGTCAGAGCTAGTCCACTGGGTAGCATCCTGTTTTTGCCAGAACTACTGCTGGGAAGGTCCATGTGTTGGGTCACACCCACCTTAGAGCGAATAGAAGAAATGGAGGATGGTCCATAGCATTGTTGACCTGCTTGATCCCAGGGTGCCGAGTTTCCCATGGGGAAGACAGGAAGGAACAGGGAAGAGTGAGAAGGGGTGGAGTGGTCTGGGGGCAGAGGAGGGTAACAGCCCACTGACAACCCGTGATGGGCAGAGATTCAGGAACTGCTGTCAGCAACCTTTGCTGCAACCTTGACCTGGCCAGGGGATTGCTGGCGTGGGCATTGTAAAGCTCACTCGCTTCTTTCCCCTGTATTTCTCTGCTATATAATCTTAGGCGTGTGCCCAACAGGTGTGGTGTCTCAGTCCTGTTCTCTGAAAGCTGAGGTCCACATGGCCAGTCTTACTTTGTTTTTCTTCCTAGAAAAGAGGCGTGAAAGTTGCTCAGTCATGTCTGACTCTTTGCGACCCCATGGACTGTCCATGGGTTTCTCCAGGCCAGAATACTGGAGTAGGTAGTAGTAGTAGCCATTCCCTTCTCCAGGGCATCTTCCCAACCCAGGGATCGAACCCAGGTCTCCTGCATTGCAGGTGGATTCTTTACAGCTGAGCCACCAGAGAAGCCCTGGTGAAAAGAGGAAGATGGTCACAAACCGCGGTCCTCCTCACATGATCCATGTAACTCAGAAATCCTTGTTTAATGATTTGTGCACTTTTCAGTTGTTGATTCCTTTCCCCCCCTGTTCTCATGCCATTGAATTCTTAAACCACTGTCAACTTTGGTTAGGGTCTAAGGACAGTGCCAGCTTTGGGAATGTATCAGTACATCTTGATCTTGGCCGCCTGGCTGTTTTGTGTGTCTTAACACCCTCTGATCTCATATACTCATTCATTCAGCAAGTATTTATTGTGCAAGCGTGACTGCTAGGGGGCGAGTATACATGTTTTGGTTTCCTAGGGCTGCATGACAGAGCACCGCAAGCTAGGTGGCATATTGTTGTTTAGTTACTCAGTTGTTTCCAACTCTGCGACCCCATGGACTGTAGCCCACCAAGCTCCTCTGTCCATGGGATTTCCCAGGCAAGAATACTGGAGTGGGTTGCCATTTCCTCCTCCAGCGGATCTTGATCCAGGGATCGAACCCAAGTCTCCTGCATTGGCAGGAGGATTCTATGCCACTGAGCCACCGGGGAAGCCCCTGGGTGATTTGAAACAACAGAAATCGATTCTCTCACTGTTCTGCAGACTCGAGGTCTGAGGTCCAGGTGTGCACAGGACCATCCTCCCTCTAAAAGCTCTGGGGGAGGATCTTTCTTGGCCTCTTTCTGACTTCTGATGTTGCTGGCTATCTGTGGTGTTCCTTGGCCTGTAGACGCATCATTCCAACCGTGGCCTCCATGGTCACCTGGCCTTCTGCCCGTGTGTCTGTCTGTCAGGACACCAGAAATTGGGTTAGGATCCGCCCTACTCCAATCTGACCTCATCTTAACTAATTACAGCAGCCAAGACTCTGTTTTCAAAGAAAGTCGTATTCTGAGGTCCCAGGTGGACATGAAATTGGCAGGGACAGTTTGACCCAGCGCAGTACAGTTGGGGCATTTTCCTTGGTCCTCTTTTTTGTCTCACTGAGCAGCCAGAATGGAGAATTTAGAATCTGGGTCTTCACAGCCAGTAAAGGGATGCCAAGGGTGTGGTCCTATCTCAGGGAGCTGGCCATTTTGTTAGGAAAAAGAGAACACTTGTGACTACAGGACAAGGCAGTGTGGGATAAGCATCAAATAGTACCAAGGGCATGTGTTCAAACAGGCTGTGCCCACACGTGGCAGGAATGATGGATCAGAGAAGGCTTGGCCACGAGAGTGGCAATGAGCAGCATTGGTGGGGCAGGTAGTGATAGGAGATTGATGGGGAGGGCCCCCTGGCTCACCAGCCTGGGAATAGCAGGCTGCAGGGCATGAAGGGTCAGGTCTCTTCTGGGAATGGTGTGACATTTAGCATGATGAGCGAGGCAGGGTGGATGAGGCCAGACAGCCCTGAGCTGATCCACGGCTCCCTCGCTCACTAGCTGGCTGTGTGGTCCTGACACCCAGCGTGTGTGGACTGACTCAGATCACACAGGCTAGAATCCCTGCCATGCTGGAGCCTCACCGTGGAAGGAGGCCCCACTAAGGAGCATTTAGAAACCCCTTCTTCCATCCAGGTGCTCAACCCAGGTGACCCTGGCTGCCTCCTCTGCTTTCACCTACATTTAGCCAAGGTCTGTCTCTTCTGCTTCGCAACAGCCACTGACATCCCTGCTCATGGCTACTTCCCTAATTCAGGGCTCCCCGACCTCTCAGCTGGGTGCAACCTCCTCCTTGGCCTCCCCACCTCTATTTCCCCCGTTCCCATCCCTTTTCCAACACTGCAGCCTGAGCACTGTTCCTTGTGTGCAGATCTGGCCACACTTGTGTTTCAGGTCCCTCCTGTGGCTTCTGGTGCCCTCAGGGTCAAGTTCGACACTTGCACCAGGCCTCAGAGACCCTCCACTTTCTCACCCTTCTTACCCCATCATGTGTCCCCCCGGCTTCCAATCCTACCAACTCCCACAGATCTTTAAGCTCTTATGGGAATTGTTCTCTCTGCCTGGAACTTTCCCCTTTCACTGTGTCTTAGGTTAAGGCTGTTGTAACAATACCACAGGCTTCCTTGGTGGTTCAGTGATAAAGAATCCACCTGCCAATGCAGGAGACTTGGGTTTGATCCCCGAGTCGGGAAGATCCCCTGGAGAAGGAAACGGCAACTTGCCCAGTATTCTTGCCTGGGAAATCCCATGGACAGAGAAGCCTGGTGGGCTGTAGTCCATGGAATCACAAAGAGTCAGAGCGTAGCAACTAAACAACAATACCACAGGTTGGGTGGACAGCTTAAAAGGCGGAGATTTGTTTCTCACAGTTCTGGAGGCTGGAAGTCTGAGACCAGGATTGGGTTCAGGTGCAAGCCTTCATCCTGGCAATGGCTGCTTTCTTGCCAGATCCTCCTATAGCAGAGAAAGCATGCTTGCCAGTGCCAGTATGAGGAAGGGAGGGAGAGAGACTGCTCTCAGAAGTCTCTTCTTATAAGGGCACTAATCCCATTATGGGGGGCCCACCCTCAAGACCTCATCTAACCTTAATCACCTCTCAAAAGGCCCCAACTCCAAATACCATCACATAGGAGCGTAGGGCTTCAACACATGCATTTGATGTTGGGATGAGGGAGCCACAGTCATTCAGTCCATAACACACTCCCACTCCTCTCTGTACTTAGCCACTTCTGTTCCTCCTTGGAATTTCACTGTGGATGTTACTTCTTCCAGGAAGGTTTCTCTGATTTCTGCCCTCCCCACCCCTGTACAGCACACACACACAAAGGTGGGCTAAGTGGAGCCCCATGTGCCTCCAAAGCACATTTTTGACTCTTCCTTTCTGTAGGAGTGAGGGTTTTTTTCTTTTTAATATTTGTTTATTTGGCTGCATCGTGTCTTAGTTGCAGCACACAGAATCTTTCACTGTGGCCTGTGGGCCCAGTAGTTGTGGCCTGAGGGCTTCGCTGCTCTGCGTCATGTGGAACCTTAGTTCCCTGACCAGGAATCAAACCCATGTGGCTGCATTGCAAGACAGGTTCTTAACAGCTGACCCACCACGGAAGTCCCTCAGAGGGAGTTTTTGTTTCCTCTGTAGGCGACTTGCTCCAGAAAGCCGTCCTCTAACCTTAGTGCTGTTTGTCACCCTTTCAGGACCACCAGGCCCCAAAGGTGATCCAGGGGATGCAGGGAAAGAAGGCGAGCCTGGAATCCCTGGCCTACCTGGACTTCGAGGTAATGGGGGCCCCGGGAGGGACCTGGACATAGCAGGAAGGGAAGGAGCTCCCCCATCCATCCCTGACTTTCTGTTTTATCATTGGTGTCGGTGATGGGGCTCTCAGGACAGTCCCAGTCGACTCAGCTTCAGATACCCTATCCTGTTAAAAGCCTAAGAGGTTGTTGGTGTAACACTGTGTGTTTTAGTCTCTCAGTCATGTCCGACTCTTTGTGACCCTGTGGACTGTAGCTGTCAAGCTCCTCTGTCCATGGAATTTCCCAGGTAAGAATACTGAAGTGGGTTGCCATGCCCTCCCCCAGGAGCTCTTCCCCACCCAGGGATTGAACCCAGGTCTCCTACATTGCCAGCAGATTCTTTACCATCTGATCCACCAGGGAAGCCCTGTTGTTGATAAGTCAGTTAAAAAAATATATATAAGCTCTTTCTGATTTGGAAAGCTTAAAACATTTTTTTTAAGTTGTGTAACACTAGGATGGAGCAAATCCTTTTCCATAGAAAGTACCAGAATCTGAAGGAAAAGAGTGCACAGGAGTCTTACAGCTCCCTGAAGCCACTCCCAACCCCAGGAGTCAGGGCCCCTGAGACCAGGATCATCAGAAGGAATCAAGGGTGTCCTCTGATCTAGAGCAACCCTTCAAGTATGCCGCACCCCCTCGGCATTTCCTGAGTCCCCAGCACTTGACCCCCTGCCTCCTGTGGAAACCACCCCAGTCAGTAGATACCTGTCCTCTCCTGCCCTTTGCTACATGCCCTAGTGCAGACCGGAAGGTCCAGTAGCTGACAGGGAGGGTAATTTGGGACCTTCCGGAAAGAGTGTGTTCTCCTTAGATGCCTTGTCTCAGGAGTTCCTGTTCCTGTTCCATTGCCTTATCAAACTTTGCATCCCAGCCTGTCAATGCTGTGAGCAGCATTTTTCTAGGAGAGTGTAGAGTCTTCTTGGGGCTTCCCAGGTGGCTCAGAGGGTAAAGAGTCTGCCTGGGATGCAGGAGACAAAGGAGACATGGGTTCGATTCCTGGATCGGGAACATTCCCTGGGGGAGGGCACGGCAACCCACTCCAGGGCTCTTGCCCGGAGAATCCCATGGACAAGAGGAGCCTGGAGGGCTATAGTCCATAGGTCGAAAAGAGTCGAACTAACTGAAATGGCCGAGCATGCACGCACTTAGAGGATTCTAAGTCAGCAGTCCCCATCCTTCTCAGCATCGGGGACCAATTTCATGGAATTCAATTTTTCCATGGACGGTGAGGTGGGGAGATAGTTTCGGGATGAGTCAAATGCTTTAAATTTACTGTGCACTTTATTTCTATTATTATTACTTCAGCTCCACCTCAGATCATTAGATCCCAGAGGTTGGGGACCCCTGTTTTAAGTGATGTAAGAAAAGGGGAGGCTTATCAGGGGAAAGGTATCTGCTTATTTATGTCAGAAATTATACCTCCAAACCCTCTCCTTCCTAAATCTCTAAGGAGGCTGCAAACAGGAGAGGAGGCAGAGGCTGGTGGAGGCGGAGCTCACAGCCTGGCCTTCACTCCTGGCCTCTGCCTCTGAGCGCAGCTCCCTAAACTCAGAAGTTAAGGATGCCCAAGGGCTTCCAGCAGAGAAGGCAATGGCACCCCACTCCAGTACTCTTGCCTGGAAAATCCTATGGACGGAGGAGCCTGGTAGGCTGCAATCCATGGGGTTGCAAAGAGTCGGACATGACTGAGCGACTTCACTTTCACTTTTCACTTTTATGCATCGGAGAAGGAAATGGCAACCCACTCCGGTGTTCTTGCCTGGAGAATCCCAGGGATGGGGTCGCACAGAGTCGGATACGACTGAAGTGACTTAGCAGTAGCAAGGGCTTCCAGAGCAGTGGAACCTCTTTTTCTCCCTCAGTCAGTGAAGGGATGGGGTAGCCCTGGGCATATCCTGCATGAGATTCAGAATTCCATGACATCAAGGCTGCTGGCCTGCAGGAATGTTATGTTAGGGAAGGAAAAAAAAAGGAATCAAGCCCTTTTCTGAGGTCCTTCCACCCTCTTGGGACCCTGGTCATTTGGTGTTTGCTGTAGAGGAATCATAAGTGAAAGATAGATTTCTTCATGTCTTGGAAAAAGGCCAAAGAAAACGAACTAACATTCAAAGCAGGAAAGAACAATTAATGTGTTAATCAGAGTGCCCTGCTTTGCAGAGATAACTTTGGGTTTAGGTCAGGCCTCCAGGGGCGGAGGCCTCACTGGGTGAAAGCAATTGTTGACTTCCGGTCTCCATGGTGACCTGCGGCTGGTGTCATGGGCCTTGTGGCCAGGAGCCCTGGGGCCTAATGGATCAGCAGCCTGTTTTGCCCCAATTATTGAGCTTTAGGACTTCCTCCCTCCTTGTCAGCCTACCATCCCCTTCTCTACACTTCCCTGTGTTTGCTACAGGGAAGGGACCTTTATATATATATATTTTTTTCCATAGAATGAGAAGTGATTTCATCTTCTTCCTACCCTAAGTACCAATAAGCCCTTTTCATCCAGCGTGAGATGAAGCCAGCCCATCAGGGCTAAGATCCTGTCTCCAACAGTGTCTGCTGTGTGACCTTGGGCAGGTTGCCTCACCTCTCTGGGTCTCAGTTTTCTCATTGGTAATACAGGTGGAATGACACCTCAGATTATGGGGAGGATTAAATAAGATACTTAATGAAAAGCATTCAGGACAGTGCCTGGCACGTTCAAAAGACTCAAAATTTGTTTGCAAATCTAAATGTCCAGCATAGGTAGAGCTAAAGAGATCTCGCCCAAATGAGATTGGCACCTCTGACACTGCTCACAGTAGACTCGGACCTTTCTTGGAGAGGGGTCCAGACTCACTGGGTTAAAGGTGCTGACAGGGAGCTGTCAGGTGCTGGCCTTTTGGGCTCTGTTTTTGCAGCATCTTTAACTGAAAAAAAATCAAGAAGCAGAGGCAATGGGAAGATGGATGGTTGAGCCAGACAATGGTCACTGAGGGCCCTTCCAGTTCTGAGTCTGAGGCCCCACAACTTTCTTATCTCCGTAGGTCTACCAGGGGAGAGAGGGACCCCAGGACTGCCTGGCCCCAAGGGCGACGAAGGGAAGCTGGGAGCCAGTGGACCAATGGGCATGCGTGGCTTCAAAGGTAACGCTGCATCTCAGAGCATGCTTGCTCGCCGCCCGCCCCAGCACACCAACGTGGGCACTGGAGTGTGGACCGGCCTCAGATTCTGGTTCTGCCGCTGACCTGCTGAGTGTCCTTGAGCAAGTCACGGAACCTCCTTAAGCATCTGCTTCTTTATTTCCTTTTTGGCCACGCCATGTGACATGAGAGATCTTACTTCCTGGACAAGGGATCAAACAGTGGAAACAAGGCGTCCTAACCACCAAACCACCAGGGAATCCCCATTAAGCATCAGTTTCTCCATCCCCAAACTAGAAATCCTCATGATTCCATATTTCACTGGGCTCTCATGAGGATTGCATGCAATGTATATGAGTGAAAACACGGTAGACTCTACCGCTCTACGGAAGTTCAGGGGAGTGTTCCCGTGGTTGCAGTTCAGTGACGTAACCAGAGGAAACCAGGCCAGGAGAACAGGCGCTGCAAGCCCAGGACAGCCCCTCCCCGCAGTACTGCCAGATTCCTTATAGTTTGCCATATTCTTCTGATCCCCCAAACAGTTAAAACTTTAACCAGTCCTCAGATTTCCACTGTCAGTAGTGTCTCTTCTGACTTGTTTTCCTTCATGTTAATAGTCACCTTGTTCATTTTCAGGGAAGCCCACTTTATAGTCCTTCCCATCTTTTCATGTTCAAGTGTCCAGACCTTCTAGCGCCATTGCAGAAGAAGAAATCTGACACTCTTTCCCTGGCCTTTGCCTTCTCGCTTGTTCTCAGCCCACATCAAGGATGACCTGTTAATCTTGGATCACTGGGAATTTTTATTCTGCTTTCTGACTGGTGATTAAACAGACTGAGGTTTTGCTTCCTCTTACGATCCACATTTTAAAAAATTGATTTTAAAACACATTACAAAAGCAGCGCATGCTTACTAAAAACAATTTAACAATACAGAAATGTATATTAAAGTCTAAAGTAAACAGTGAGTGCCCTCCTTCATGGTCTCTTATGTGCTTACTCTTCAGAGTAACTACTGTAAACACTTTGGAGCACATCCTGCCAGACTTTTTTCCAAAAGCACATTCATATTTACATATATGGTTGCCTTTTTCTTTTTTTTTTTCAAAACTTGGATCACTCAAGGCATCTTTCCCTGGAACTTGTTGGCTTCTTTTTTTTCGTGAGAGAATTTGCCATAAGCTTTTGATTTACAGTTGTCTTTCTGGAGGCACTTGGATGGAATCCCCTGGTCTTTTTAATGTCCTCTTGAGTGGTGTCAGGACCTTTGAACTTCTTTGTAGAGTGCGATGTTAGCTGAGAAAAGAGCTCTGTTCTTTTAACCATATCCTGGGAAGGAAATGCCACAATTCCCTGGAAACTCTCCCTAGTGTTGTATAGCCTCGCCCACCAAAAAATCTGCCTGATGTAGAACCTGTGTTTCTCCTTGTAACTGAAGACCCTCCCTGCTTCCTTTTCTCCCTGCATGCTTATTAGAGCAACCTTGGATTTGAGCTTCTAAAATTTTGGCTATTTAATAGGAATATCTTTTCTTTGTCTTCTCCCTGTGGGATACAATGCACTCCTTTAAGTCTGTGCTGCAATGAGCCTCTGTGTTTTAATTAAGAGGGAAGGAAACTTCTCGGCTTGGTGCCCACCCACCCTGCTTCCAGGGAGAACTGGACAGACAGCATAATTGACTTGAGCTCTTTCCCTTCCTGCCACACATGCCCTTCAGGTCTGCAGGCTCCTGCCTCAGCATTTCTCTGGTTTGGGGTTAATGTCTCCTGCAGATAAGACTTTGTTCACCATGTGCATTTATTTCCGTTTCTAATGTGGGTTTTCCTCCTCTGTTCTAGGTGATCGAGGCCCAAAAGGGGAAAAAGGAGAGAAAGGAGACAGATCAGTGGATGCCAGTAAGGAAATTCTGTTGGAGTCACTGGATTCTGGGTTGGCACGGGTGTGGCTGTTGACCCAAGCAGCCCCACAAGTTTGGGGGTCTGGAAGATGGAGCCTTTGCCCCAAGTCCAGTGTCAAAGAAGCTACCTACCTGCTCTAGGGCTCAGTTTGTCCAGCAAGAGAGAATTATACCCCAGGGGCACAGGCTGTGTTTCCAGTGGTTGTGTGGAAGGATCTGGAGGCAGACTGTCCAGGCTTCTTTCTGGTTGCCTCACAATGTAATGTGTGCCTCAGTTTTCTCATCTATAGAATGGGATTAAAAAGCGTTCTTACATCATAGAGTCATTGTGAGAATTAAATGAGTCAATCCATGTAATTGGTGGTTAGGACACATGATTAGGACTTGGTATTAACTATTAGTGTCCTATGTAATACACCAATTCAGACAGACTTTCTCAAATCATCAGAGATGCTTGCTAAAATTCAGTTCCTGACTGCATTAAAGGGCTTGACCTACCTGGGTAGTTATATGGGAAAGGTGTTGAGGCCAAGCAGAAACCTGTTTGTTTTTTTCCTCTGCCACTAACTGAGCAGTGATGCTGGAGATCTCATTTGCAGACCACTGAGTTCAGAAATGGATGTCTCTCCAACCAGGGTCCTTCCTACAGTGTTTACGAGGGAAGTCAGTTTATCTAGTTATAACACTCTTTTCCAGGGCTTATTTCCACTATGAAGGGCTCCATGTAGAACCTTGGAGAGATTGCCAGAGAACAGCGAGCCTCCAAGCCAAGTTTCAATGAATAGAGTTTTCTAGCCAAGTTAAAAAAATGGTATCAGTAGTACATAGTATTCTGGGGGCTCTGAAATACACCATCTGGGTAAAGGCTCAAGCTGTTTACCCTCTTCTAAGGCATTTGGGCTTTTGTGTGGGCTCTCCAGGAATCCAGGGCCTGGGGAAATGGACAGACTCCACTGTAGATGCACACTTTGGACCCAGCGTGAGGGTTTCCTGAAGGCTGATCCTTGGTTTCAGTGGGTCCTTAAAGTGACACTTCCATCCAAGCTATGCAGGGCCAAGAGACCTTGCTCTTGAATAGTACCTTCTCCAAAGTCCCTGAATCTTTATCTTGCCTCCTACTTCCTCTGCCCTTTCCCTTCCTAGGACAGTGATTAAGGATCCAATAGGAGAAAGGTACATGATAGCTTTTTGTCTCTCTAAAGCGATGGGTGTACCTGAGGACAGGTATGCCCATATCTACAGGGACTCCATACACTCATCTTCCCTTGCTGTGCCCTGCCAAGTTGCTTGAGTCGTGTCCACATCTTTGCAACCCCATGGACCATAGCCTGCCAGGCTCCTCTGTCCATTGGATTCTCCAGGCAAGAATACTGGAGTGGGCTGCTGTGTCCTTTTCCACACCTTACCTTGGATGCTGTAATCCACAAGCAATCTATATGCTTTCTAGCATTATCTAGAGTCCCTTTCAAGGACAGCCAAGGGCTTGACTGGGAATGTGTCAGCTAGAAGAGATGTGTTGGACCACACTGCTGCTGCTGCTAAGTCGCTTCAGTCGTGTCCAACTCTGTGCGATCCCATAGACGGCAGCCCACCAGGCTCCCCCGTCCCTGGGATTCTCCAAGCAAGAACACTGGAGTGGGTTGCCATTTCTTTCTACAATGCATGAAAGTGAAAAGTGAAAATGAAGTTGCTCAGTCGTGTCCAACTCTTAGCAACCCCATGGACTGCAGCCTACCAGGCTCCTCCATCCATGGGATTTTCCAGGCAAGAGTACTGGAGTGGGGTGCCATTGCCTTTTCCAGTTGGACCACACAGGAGCCAAAAAAAAAAAAAAATTGAAGGCAAAGGAAGGGAGTCTAGATCTGATCTAGGATGTCAGTGATATATCTGAGTCATGTTTCTTTGAGAGCTGGGCAAACTACTTTGTCTCTTGAATACTGCCTTCTGCAGCCCTTTGTTGACTGCTGACTTCTGGTAGAACAGTGCCAAGGCAGCTGAGAAGGACCCTGACATTTCCCTGTGAAACAGAGAAGTCCTTATGGGGTGGTGGGAAAGGAAGGACAGTGGAAAGACGACCTCTGAGAGGGATAGCAGAGATACCGCCCACCCAGTGTGTACCCAGGGATGCTTGTCAGATTCTTTGGCAGCTTCTCCAGCTGACTCAAGAGCAGGGGGTGGGCTGCGCTGGGCAAGCCTGGAAGAGCTGTGGGTTGTCAGTCACCATGCAGCCCATGGGGATGTTTTCATCTCTGTTTACCTTGCCTCGGTGGGCCTGCTGGGTGGGCTTTGCAGTGGGGTTGCGCTCCGAAGCTGGGGGCACAGTGCATGGGGTGATGGCTGTGGGAGAGAGCTGAGTCGCAGAGGTGGGGGGCTCCCCCAGGCTTGGGCAGGGAGCCTGGGGGAAGGGCATCGAATCCACTTGGCCCTGGCGCCTCTATTCTGCACTCAGAGGCTGGCCGGCCCCTTCTCAGGCACTGCTGGGGTTTCTTTTTGCCCTGAAGGAGCTGTACCCTCCCTGGAGCCCAGAGCTTGGATAACTGCCCCCGACATTTGGGACAGAATGTCTCCATCGGTGATGGAGCAGGAAAGTGGATGGCTTTGCAGGTTCAACCCCATCGATGGGGGACCGTATGCAGCATGCAAGGCATGAAAGAGACATAAGCATTGCAGACCCACCAGGCTGAACGGCCTTGTCCATTTCCAGTTCTCAGAGGCCTGGAGTGGGAAGTAGAAACTCTCAGGGCAAGGAGCAGAGGCTGGACAGAACACCCAGGCCTCGGCCTTCTCTGATTCTGGAATTAGAGGAAGGCCTCTGGTCTTTTTTTTTTTTTGGCTGTACTGGGTCTTCATTGCTGCACATGGACTTTCTCTAGTTGCTGCAAGTGAGGGCTGCTCTCTAGTTGTGGTGCTCGGGCTTCTCATTGTCTTTGCTTCTCTTGTTGCAGAGTACAGGCCCTGGGGTGCACGGGCTTCTGTCGTTGGGGCTCCCAGGCTGCGGAGCACAGGCTCAATAGTTGAGGTGCACAAGCTCAGTTGCTGCTTAGCACATGGGATCTTCCTGGATCAGGCATGGAACCCAAATCTCCTGCATTGGCATGCGGATTCTTTACCACTGAGCCAGCAGGGAAGCGTCCCCACCCGTGCACCTTTTTTTGGTGCACCTCAAAGCTTGTGGAATCTTAGGTCCCTGACAAAAGGATTGAACTCACGCCCTTGGCAGTGAAAGTGTGGAGCCCTAACCACTGGACCGCCAGGGAATTCCCAGGCCCCTGGTCTTGAAGAGGAGGAGTGGGCTCCTTAAACAACTTCGAGGAGCCCCCACCTGGAGATAGGGGTGACCGGGCCTGAGGCTGAAGGAGGGCGATTGAAGCTCTTCAGGGCTGAGACCTGGGCCTTCCCACGGCCTCCACCCACCAGCCTGCCTCTGCTCATGCCAAACCCACACTGTAGTCAGACTCCTGCTTATGTTTCCACGGAACTCTGGTCCCAGACGCATTCACTGGATCCCTGGGACTGAGGTTCTGAGGAGGGGCCAGGAGATCATCTTACAGAAAAGTGAGGAAATTCTGACCCACGCTGAGTGCCTACTTCTGCGGGGGTTCTTTGTCATTCCTCCAGCCCAGGGCAGCCCCGCCATGAGTTTGCAGGGGTGAAAGGAAAAGTTCTCAGCCCAGAGCTCCACCTTCCTTCAAAAAAGGATGTGGTAGAGGAGGAAGCCTCCTCTAGGAACCCAGCATGCCCCTGAGGCCTGGAACCTTTACCAAACACCTCCTACCCTGGTGGCACAGTGGGAAAGAATCTGCCTGCAATGCAGGATCCCCAGGTTCAATCCCTGGGAAGGGAAGATCCCCTGGAGTAGGAAATGGCTCCAGTATTCTTGCCTGGGAAATCCCATGGGCGAAGAAGCCTGGCGGGCCTCAGTCCATGAAGTCGCAAGAATCCAAGATGACTTAGCGACTAAACCTCCACTACCACCTCCCACCTTTAACAGCAAAAACCTAAAACTCCAGCAGGTGGGGGTGTTACTACATTAAAAGGATTGATGAGAAAAAACATAGACCCGTCCTCAGGTCAGAAGCGGATATTGGAGGTTTTCCTTTGAAGAAGGCATTATAGCAAAGACTTCTCAGGACCCATGTTTTAAGTCAATGTTAAACTATTTTTCAGAACAAGATCTTGTAATTATTTATCCATGTTTTGGCCTGGAGTCATAGGTTTTAGAGTCATAGGGGTTGGATGGTATTTCAAACCATCTCCTCTTCCACTCTAGACAGCTGGACAGAATTCCCATAGTCTCCCAGCTAGGTCATGGCCAAAGTGAGGCTAGATAGAATACAGAGCTTCTGATTTCTGCTTGATGAGAGGTAAAGGTCTTTTGTTGTTGTTGTTTGTTTGTTTGAGGCAAGGCTGGTACCATGTTTGGCTTTTGAGAGTTTGGCCAAGAAAAAAAAGTTAGGTTTACACATCTCAAGACAGAAAGACATTTGTTTTACCCTCATCGATGATCTATTTGCAAGAAAAATAAATAGTATTTTTGCAGCGAGGGAGTAAGTAAAGGATCTGTGTTGTTTAAGCCCCACAGCGTGAATTTCAAGCAGGATGTAAATTCAGATTGTTTAAAAATGTTTCCTCAATTAGGATTCACATGGGAAAAAGTAGGCAGGAGGGGCCAAGGGTAATTTCCAAGCCAGAGCTTCGTGATAGCTATCAGTAGCATCTCAGAAAAATTGAAAAATGTTTAACACCTTGTGTGTGTTTTCAGTATGTAGGGAAGTAGGTTTCTGAGTGTTTGGCAGGGTGGGGAACCAGTGGACACTCTAGCATGCAGTATATAAGCTCAAAATAAATGATTAGGATGGTGGTTTCTAGACAGTTCTTTTCCATTGCTGCTGAGACGTCTCTGTCTTTGCTTTAACAGATTCTCAATGTTTTGTTTTGTTTCCTGGCTATGCCTCATGGTATGTGGAATCTTAGTTCTCTGGCCAGGGTTTGAACCCA